TTTTTCAGATTTCTGCTTTATCAGCAGCTGCCTAAAGGGTTTTTAAACACTACCGGTTTGATTTTCGCATAACAAATCTTTCTGTCATGGTTCAGAATTAGGACTCCTCCTTGATGATGGATCGTTATTTTGCTGAGCCAGATACACTAGCTGCAGTGCTGTGTCAACTGTAAACACTCCACCCAACAAGCTCCAAGCATCATGCAGGCTTACTAAACATGCACAGCATAAGAATTAGCTTTTAATGTGTAAGATTGCTCATGTCTGTCTGTCATTTACATATAAAAATGTTTTACAATGCAATAAAACTTTTTTGATATCATTTCACCAACTCAGCTCCTAACTGTCTTTCTTTACCCACTTACATGAAATTTGGCTTTAACCTCAGAAATGCCTGTAACTCACTCACAAACCTAAAACAGCTGCATATTGTCCATAGAGTTACCGACCTGTCTTTTTTAAATTTCACCACTAGGGGTCGCCAGAAGGTTTTCTTATCTACACAGTGAAATAAAAGAGTGTGTGGTTGGTTGGACTTCACCACTAGGGGTCGCCAGAAGGTTTGGAGAACACAGTAAGGGCTTGGACTTCAGTGTGTTTCAAGAAGTGTGTGCAGATGTCTCTAGAAACAGAAAAGCCAGGAAGTGATGTGATGAGTAGAACTTTTTTAAAGCCTTTTTGTGTTCTTCATGATTTCTGTAGCTGTATTTGTGCATCTGTTTTTGTACCGATTGAACTAAATCTGCCTTGTTATATATAGATAGAGAGATTAAAATATATACAATACTGTATATATACAGAGATTAAAACTCGTCACTTTCAACCAGTGGAGTCTCCAGGATATTTTATATCTAGAACAGAGACATTCTAGAAGTTTCAAATCTCTATGCTAAGGTGATGTTGATTAACCGCCTCATAGCTCCACCTTCATGCTTAACACACAGACCTGAGTGTGATATCAACCTTCTCATCTCATTCTCAACAAAAAAGCAAACATGCATATTTCCCAAAATGTTAAACTTTAGTTTTAAATGAATAGCTTTTCTTCACAGAGTGTGGTTGGAGACACACAAACATCTGTTGGAGCACAGATATGAGGCAATCAGCAGCAAAGTAAAACAGTAGACTTTCAGACCCGTGACTCACATGTTTGGCTGAAGATACCCTTAAAAACTAGACCCGAGCGAGCACCTACTGTACTGTGGGCAGAGAGAGGAGAAAATGAGATTCTGTCATTAACCACAAAAACGAGCGGAAAGGGCAGCGTAGAACAAAATATTTGCTCTTTTTTACATGATTCATTTCAGTGTTCAGGCTCTGAGACCAGAGAAATGGAGAAGTGAGAGGAAGATTCATAAAGGAGGTGAGAAAGAAAGATGAGGTGCTGATCAAATCAACTCCCACACGCTGCTCCACAATGTCACAGCCCTACGGCAGCACAGACGGGACCATCACTCAGTCAGGACTGAACCTTCCACCAACCACTGTCTGCAAACCAGCCATGATACGATGACCGGTCACATCTATGTTTACAGAAATATTCACTGGTTAAAAGTGATGCATTAAGCCACAGTTCTGAAACCAAATGAGGCTCCTGTCACAAACTGGCATCATCCCTGTACTTTACCCAGCGAAAGATTGTATATGAGGAGTTGGGGGCACAGGTTGAAGGAAAATTATTTAAGCTGCTTTGTTGAGTAATTAATTCATTTTGTAAGCAAAAATGCCAAGAAAATCTCTGTAGTTTCAGCTTCTCACATCCAGGTGTTTTACTGCTTGCTGGTTTTCTTTCATGCTAAAGTAAACAATGACAAACTTCCTTCAGTTTTGGACTGTTGATCTTCACAAAAAAGGAATATTTTGGATCACAGTTAATCTAATAAATAAGAGAATAACTGACATATCAATTGATAATGAACAGAATTAGTTGCTGCCCTGTAACAGATCACAAGCTTAGGCTCACACATTTAGAGTAGACCATGTGCTTATGGGCTGATGCCCTCTAGTGCACACAGCTTGTGATAAACCTTCATCAGTCAGACTAAGGTCATGTTTATATAGGTCTATCTATGCTGATTTTATTTATAATAAATCTACAATTGTGAAGCCAAAATCCTTTTTTCTAATTTCTTGAAGCCTCTACACAATATTCCCTACTACTACTACTACTACTACTACTACTAGGACTGGTTTATCCAACCAAACAGGCCTATTCAGTTAAAAAACACCGTCGGTGAAGATGGAAGCAGCTAATGTTGCAACTGCAAATCCATTTTAATGAAAAATAATGTCAAACAAATAACTGATGGAGTCCGACAGAGCGGTGAACAGCAGCCTGTTTGTGGTCAGACAACGTGGACACCGTCTCCTCCCAGCAGCCCACAGCTTTAGATTATGAACCAGAAACTCAGCAGAGAGGACATCTGAATCACACTGAGCGTGAAAATTCATTCCCTGATCTAGACTGTGTAGATTCATGACTGGATTAAATAAATTCCATAAAACCACATTGTGTCCTGGTGTCTGGGTCTTTGGGGCAGTATTCACTCTGGTACAGGCTGTTCACTCTGTGTTCAAATGCAGAGGCACCATGTTGCTTCATATGAAAGAATCACGTGTTTCCTGGAAATACCGTTATCAGGTGATGAAGATCAGCGTCATGTCGCTGCCTTATGTGCAGCCTGTGCATTTATCTCTATTAGTTGTCCCATGCCCTTCTGCTAGGTAACCGCCACAATGTATACCGGTACTCCCATACAGCCATTGTAGATGAAGACATGTTAATCTTACCTCAATCTTTTAAAAACCATGAAGGTACCAGTGTGCAGAGCTTCTGATGCTCTGCTCACTCTCTGTGCACCTATATGTGGCCATTACATCCACTAACTGTGTCCTCTCTCTCTCTCCCTGTACCTTCCTGCAGGTAGCCCTGGCTCTGGAGCTCTACATTTCTGATGAGAAGTCAACAACCACATCAACCTGCCCAGTGTTTGTTTGTTGTTGTGTCCTGATGCTTTTCTTTCTTCTCTCCTCTATCCTTGATGTCCCGACAGGTCAAGGCAGAAGGCCGCCCACCACGAGCCAGAGTCTGTGCGAGGTTTCTTCTGTTAAAGGGAGTTTTTCCTCCTCGCTGTCACCGAGTGCTGCTCAAGGGGGATTTGTTGGGTTTTTCTGTATCAAGTGCCTTGAGATGATTTTTGTTGTGAATTGGTGCTATACAAATAAAACAACTGAATTGAAAATTCACCCATTTTACTGTGAGATGAGAGAAATACAAAATATCACAAGGCTGGTAAATAAACAGAGGAGGTGGGTACAAAAACCTGGAACATAAAACAAAATTTAAAATAAGTTTGAAACAACATATTTGACTCCCACTGTCACGACATCTCAAGTGTCACTCTACCTTATTTCTCTCAGAACAACATATTTGACTCCCACTGTCACGTTATCTCAAGAGTCACTCTACCTTATTTCTCTCAACTTTAAACTAAATGTTCCCAATGTCTGACATGAATGAACACCAAGTTTATTTGTCCCAGATTTTGTGACCTGTGTCCTACCACCAGGCTGCAGTAGCTATGACCGTTCAAATCATCATCGATTACTTCTTGCTTTCTTTTGATCTGGGGTGAGGATCACATGTGAGACGAACCAAACCTGAGACTTCACCATTCTCTGTAGTCTGGCATGTTTAGGGCAGAGTGTACTGTATAATCAGTCTTGGTGTGACAGAGTTTACCTCCATCACTTCTACACTAACAGTGTCTCGATCCATTTTGTCTCGACACAGCAGGGTTCAGCGTCCTGATCGTCACTCGTCTCTCCGATCAGCCACGATGGTCGATCTGTTCGTAACAGCGTGATTCTCTCTTCCTGTGCTGTGCTAACTGTTCCACCATGACAACAGCCCGAGTCCTGGCTCACAGATGGTCCCCTGAAACAAAAATACAAAGGGTCAGGATGGACATGAAGCTGCTGTTGCTTTGTGTTTTCAGTCTTTTTGGTTGATTAGTCCTCTTCTCAGAGCTGTGTGCGCATGTCAAACTCCATGACTCTCCTGCTAGTTTTCCAGCATCTCGTAGGGCAGGACATCTTTGACCTTTATGAATCTACTGCGAGCTGAGTCTCACCAGTACACAACCGTTTAAAGCAAACAAAATCACCCTAATCAGTTTATCTGCAAGAAGACCTGAACCCAAACGGTTTCCAGCTGTGGTGAACTTTGACACACGAGGTGTGTTCTTACAATCAGAGTGTACGGCGCCTCCTTCTTCCCCATGCCATCCTCTGCTGGCGGTGCTGTCGACTGTCCTGGTTGTGTCGGAGTGTCAGTCGCTGCAGTGGCCGGGCCCGTCGGTGATGTGTCCACAAAGACTTCGTCCGTCACCCGAAAACGGATCTCCTCTCCCTGATCCATGTAGAGGTCGTGGGCCCCCTCGTCTGTCTCATACTCCCAAAGCCAGACCTGCTCGGCTTCATCACTGACACTGCAGCTAAGGAACTCTGGATCTGTACGACTGGTTTAATATGAGATGCACAAATGTTATGAGGCAAAACAGCACTTCTAATGAAACAACAACACCTGAGGTCAGGATACAACTTTGCAGGCTGTTGAAGCGACTCCGGGGGAATGAGGATGTCATCAAAGAAGCCCATTGTCACTGAAACACAGAGTGAAGTCAGTATTTAGCACAGGACTATTTCCTGACACGTAACAGAAGCTGAAGTCAGTTCTTGCTCATGTTGCACATACTGAATCAAACATGCAGACTTACCATGAACTCCCTCCTGACTGCAGTACTTGATCTTGCCGATCAGGATCTCTTCGAGGAAAGGGTGAAAAACAACATACCTAAAATGAACTGACACAAAGACCGGAGGAGGAAGGCATTTACTCAGGAGGCAAGTGACGTTATTCACAGTCAACTCTCACCTTAACCAAAAGATCTGAGTTTCAACAAAGGAAATATGTGCTGTGTAACTGCATGGGGTATTGTTAGAGCCCTGTTTAGTGTTGTTATTATCGCCATACCTTTAGTGTGTGAGGCTCCATCCCCTGGGAATATGTAGGAGTCCTCCAGTTTAGTGATGTCGTACAAGCAGATGCAGAGGCCAACATTGTAGACCACCTGAGGGGAGGAGAGCAGGTCACCGATTAACAAATACTGACAGCACTGTTTCCCCACAAGCGCTTCAGCTCAGTCATCACAGAGTCTCACTGAGTTAAAAACCCCGTAATTAAAGAAATAAAACTAGTTACGCATGAAAACAAAATACTGTGCTTCCATACATGGTCAGTCCTCAGAATGCAGACGCCACAGATTAGCATGAGTCACTTCACTGTTGCAGAGCTTTAATGTCCTTTTGTTTGCTATTAAAATGATGTAATACTTTCTGTAGTTTTGATGATTTGACTTAGTGATCAAGTCTAGAAAACGTGGAGGAAAGAACACAAATGGAAGCAGTTGAGCAAAATAACAGAATTCTGACTTGTACAGGTGTAGGATTTTTTATTTCAATGTAAAATCTGACTAATAGATTATCTATAATTACAGTAATCCAGGATATTCATATGTAGCAATGGTTTTCAAAAGAAAATCTTACTCTTAAATGACTCCTATTTTTTTATAATAGAGGAACTGATCACTTCAAACTGTTTTACAGCTAAAACAGTGATTCAGTCCATCAACGAGGATCAGGATCAATTCGACAGTATTTCCATTGTTTTTACTCATTTGTCAAGTAAAACTACATTGCAAGGCATCCTCTGGTTTAAGTTTCAGTAGTGTGCATTTATTTTTGAGGTTCTGGGATGTTGGTCTGACAAAACACAATGTTCACAGAGATCAGCACCTCATGTTTTATAGGAAACCAGATGAGATCTGGGATGTTGGTCTGACAAAACACAACGTTCACAGAGATCAGCACCTCGTGTTTTATAGGAAACCAGATGTATAATCTTTGACCTAAACTGGTAAACAACAACCTGCTGTTTCTCCTCTCATTTATTCAGGTTTTTCCTACAATTATTATATATAAGGAATTCATAAAGGGCAGATCAAAGAAGGCGGAAGAAAAATATAAGTCATATAAGAACAAATTAATTGAGATTTTGAGGAGATGTAAGAAACAATATTACGCTAAAGTATTAGAGGATAATAAAAATAACATGAGAGGTACTTGGAATATATTAAATAAATTGATTAGAAACAGTACCAGCAGGAGTAACTACCCTCAATATTTTATGGATAATGATACACCGGTTAATAGATTGGAGGATGTAGTAGATAAGTTTAATAGGTTCTTTGTGAATGTTGGTCCTGGTTTAGCAAGAAGCATTTGTACAGATGATACATCCGTCACTATAAATAATAATACAATCGAAAGGAACATGAGTTCTATGTTTTTGAAGCCCATAGTTGAAAAGGAAATTATA